CACTTGAATGCCTACCACATGTCACGTGGATGTATTTGGATGTATTTTCGGTCACGCGACGTTGTCTTAGTGATGAACCGGTAACTCTTCCCGACAAGATATTCAGTAGTAGGTCATTCAGATTTAAAGAGTCTGACAAAAATTCAAATGTTTCCAGATTCCATATTAGAAGTCAAACATCAGAAACGCCCTGATGCATCCGTGTATCGAAAAGTGATCGGCAGGTAAAACACCGTTCATCCGGTCATCCGTTCACCGGTCATCCCAGAAGCACCGGGGAAATCGTTGAAAAGTTCAGGAATCAATCAGTGCATTAAAATAGTAATGAGAAGAACTGACTATCCTAATTAGTTTATCGGATACATACTGGGGCATAATTTAACCTAAACTAAACAAATGGTACAAACAGCTGCACACGTACCGCATGAAAACTATAGGCTTGAACAGGTAAGTACAATCCTATCATAACTGAATGTATGTACGCTGTCTCAACCAGACAGCGAAAGCCACCTAGTTTACCTAAAAGGTCTGTACACGATCGCATCTTTTGGGTTGCGAAACAAGCTCTTTAGGCAAGTGCATAACACATCGGCTTCGTTTGGATTGATTATATCTTCAAGATCAAGAATAGTTATGTCAGTAACCGAAATAATTACCCCTGAATTTGCTGTCACTCTCAGTCCACAGAGTAGTTCTATCCAAACAGAACAAGCAACCGGGATGAAGTACAAGTATTTTCTTCCCGAGCGTGATAGTAAGGAAGGCAACGGAACCGAGACCCATGACGCAGCTGTAGCACTTGAGCGCTGGAACTGCATCCTCTCAATACACCTGAATAGTATTCAAGCGTAAGTCATGATTAGGAATGTTTCCCATGCAATACAGACCAAGAGAGAACGTGACCGATTCACCTGTTTATGGGCGCTACAGTGTAAAACCGAAATATCGGAATAAAATCTTGCTCAGGTGTACTCGCAACAGCAACGAATGTAAAACCTTATTGGTAGGGTGTATGCACAATTGACATCAGGTGAGTTGCTCGGGTAAGGCTAATAGATTTTGATTTTCCTTATCCTTATTCGCGGCGACGTACACTACATTGTGATTGGTAAAGTAGTATCTGCATCTCTCGGCTCAATTAGCAATTAGCCGGGAAGCCATATAGCCTTTCGGACTGATGCTAAGGGCAATTGGGCAGGCTGTTTAATTCAGCGTATCCGCCTGATTGTAAGCTCAAGTGTAAAATCGAACAATATTGGCCAAAGTTGGTTGTTGATCAGGTGGCTGTTGATTTGATCAGGTGTTGATCTGTTCGCCGAGCTTGGCAATTGGCTTGCAAACGTTTCGTCACCATACGAGGAGACATCATCAGTGCGCAGTTGGTTGTTAGGTGGCTGTTGATCTGTTCGCCGAGCTTGGCAATTGGCTTGCAAACGTTTCGTCACCATACGAGGAGACATCATCAGTGAGTGGTTGAGTGGGTACTTCTTCCTTGCCTGCGTGCGCTTATATAGCATTCGAGGGCTATCTGTTATCTTCTGACGTGATTGGCTACTTAAAGTGCAACAAATTTGGTGAATCTATTGGTCCATTTGTGATCTTTGTTGCGTTGTGGTCTGCGTTCCTTTGTGTCGATTGGTTATCCTCACGCCTTCTATTTTTAGTAGTTCGTTCTCTCCGGCCTCGGGTTGTATTGCGTTGTGGTCTGACGTTCTTGAGTTTGATTGGTTGCTTGTGCCGCCCTATTTCCTCCACCGTAGCGGTCAGCGTCCCTTCGTCCGTCGGTTGATTTGGTGCTTTGATTGGGCGCTTCCTCCAATCCAATTGATGTGTCCGTTTGAATGATGTTTTCCTCCTTCTCTTATGATTTCCTCGTCTGGTTGATTTTGCAGCTTTAAGCTCGGTGGTTCTGGAGTTCTCTCGCTCTTAGTGGCTGGTAAATGGGATCAATTTGGATGTGTTTGTTGATCGCCTCTTCGGTGGAGTACCATGCTTCCATAAATTCGCGTTCGTTTTTTGTTCTTGCTTGAGCCAATATGCAGACGCCGCTCCAGTCGAACTCGTGTCCTTCCTGATCTTTGTGTGCAGAGATGAGGGAAAACTGATCGTGCCTCTTGGTGGCGAG